AAATTCTGCAGTCTTGAAGTGAACCAAACACTTATGATACACATGGTCGTTTCTCTCAGAGCACAACGGAAACTGTGAGAAAACAAGAGAGAGTCGGACTCTACAAATGAATGAATTTGGAAGAAAAATAGCTGTATTTTTTCCTGTGGAAATGTTGACTTTGAAAACATTGGCCATCAACTTTAAAATCGCCCCCAAATCTGAAAATGTGTGAATTGGCAAAACAGGCAATCTTGTTGTTTTTGCCCAAGTTTGTTCATGATTTAGAGAGATTCGATGCGAAAATGCACTGATATATACTTTCGAAAGCGAGGTCTCGAGCAGTGTATTTATTTTGATTTTTAACTTAACGCTAGTCCCACTTTTCCTTCCAAGAAAATATTTTGTCAATTTTTCAATAATTCTTTTATGCGTCATTGCTTTTAAAATAAAGAGAGTCGGACCGTAATTCTTTCAAAATGACTGATCGTGCTCAATATCTATCGGAACATATCAACAGAGCGGCCAGACTCATTGGCTAAATATGTTTAAATTGCATTTTTCTTACTTTCTGCAGATTTTCCTGCAAAATTTTACTGTAGTTTAAGATGCGTTTCCTGCAGATTGTGTTCACAGACCAATGGAAGACAAGTATTTCTTCATCAACAGGTTTACTCGCCATCAATTGGTCTAGCGGGTGTTTTTTGCATGCGCAGCTTATGTCACAGCTGCGTAAGAACACGTTCGCTATAAATCATTATGGATATTTCTTTTCGGGATATCAATTCAAAGGGTCAATGTGTTTCGTAGGATTTGTGGCGGCGGGGTCATTAACTAATTACTTGATATCAGATTTTAATGAGGAGTGGTCTTATGCCGGCACGACTGTTGACTTTCATTGTAATAGCCTGAGCTGGTTCCTGGGCCGCCTCAGATTGCAGGATGGTGTCAAGTATCTTGACCTGACAGGAAGGAGGGTACCCTGACCCCTAGCTCAATATTAATCTCAGATGAGGTACGTATATATGTCTTATGGCTTGTTTAAGTTTTAACCTCACCTACATATTACCTAACATAACCTGAAATAACCAACATGCTAGAACCCTAATTTTGGTCAAATGCAGATGAGCAGAAAAATATTAACTTTTTGACAATTTGCCATGCCTATACCTATGTCTGGACGAGGGTTTGTTGGTTACTGTGTAGATAAACTATGGTGAAGATAAAAACATCTACCGTAGCCTAACCTTGCATACCATTACCAACCTACAACTTTTGGTAAATGTTCAGAAAGAGTCCGATTCACTTTTCAGGCATACATTTTTGTTAATTCTTACACTATTTTGATTTGACATCCTGACTGAATCCAGATATGATATTTACATGTGATGCAAATACAAAACAAAAATCAAACCTTACCTAACCCCATGTTGCATATTCATATCAACTGTAGATCAGAGTTTTTTTCAACAAATACCCATCTTTCATCCTTTCAGCATACCTACAACCCACTAAACAGCCTAGGTATCAACCTACCATTCATACTTTATCTACACATAGGTACATATTGATATATTGGGCAAATATGGGGTATGTTTTGTTCAGTAGGTTATAGAAGTCAGGTGCCTACATGTTATCATTTGTCATGCTTTGATTTCAGGTGGTGTCTTGTGGGCTTTATAGTGGGCTTTGTGGCCCTCTCTAAGTGCAAGGGTTAAGTGTTGATGCACATAATGCAATGTGTTTTTTTCATGGACGCAGGAACCTCACAAAGTGGAGGGGGGGGGGGGGGGCAGAGAACTTCAATGTCACTTTGTGGGAACCCCAATACCCCTATGATTTATGAACAAATTATTTGCAGTTTTGTGCTCATCTCACCTTGCCGAACCATTTCTTGCTCTTAGTTTTGAATTTAAATGAAAATAAATATTTTACTTTAAAAATTAGCTTAGCTGAAAAGTGGGGGCATGCCCCCCCCCCGCTCCTACGCCTATGTTTTTTTCTTAATGGTACAAATCATCTAGATTCATATGAGAAGGGTTGGTAGCTAGCTACAAAACCAATGCTTCAATTGTTTATTGTTTTCTTACAATAAGTCCCTCCTCTGCCAATCGCACTAAACTATCTACTGTCACAATGCAGTGTGCGCCATGATTTCTCAACTGTATGCATACAATTCTAGTTGTCAATCACACATTGTTTTTTTTTTTTTACAGGCTTTCCGGTTATGACTGAGGCCGGCATCTCACCTGTCCTGGCTACGCCAAATCATTGCGGATGCCGGATGCCGAGGACCGGAGAGCCAACCGCTTTGAGGCGTGAGCTCTGTGGCGTGGCTCGAGTGATCACCAGGTTCTGACGGCTACGGCGCCGTCGATCTGGTTGAATAGCTGGGGCCTGGACTAGGGTGCCCTCAGTACGATGGCCAATCGGTTACGTCTGAGGGGCGCTCGAACACGCTGCCGTCGCGTGGCTGCCGGCGGCCGCCACTCGCACGTGGATCTCCTGGAGCGAGGACTGCGAGAGGCGGCCGCATCATCACCTGTGTCCGCGCTCAACACCGTGCCACGCACTAATGGCGGAAGCCCGACTTTCTCCGATGGAGGAGAGAAGCTGGACGCTGGCTGCCAGGCTGCTGGGGAGGGCGCTGGCTCTGCCATCAGGGGACCCCCTGCGCGCGACCGCCGAGGCCTCGGCACCGGCGCGCCTGTCTTCGGTCCGAGGCTGGAGATTGCGAGGCCGCCAGGCCTGGGCGAGAGCGAGAATCCCACCGTGGCAACAGACGGCTGGCGTCACCTTCCGGTTGGACGTGCGCCCGATCCGGGCTGGGGTCACGGCGGCGGAAAGGGAAAGCGTGGCTACGCTGCACCTCGCGTCCCTGCCCCTGTGTGCTGCCCGGCTTTGGACGGACGGATCTGCGGAGGGCGGAGTCTTCAGGCGCTGGGCGGGAGCCGTGCTGGTCAGGCTGGACGAAGAGGCCGAGGAACTGCGGGCCCCGGCCGGAGAGCTGTGCTATAGCTACCGCGCGGAGATGGTGGCGCTGGTGACCGGTCCGGAGACCCTACTCGGAAGGGACAGAGACCAGGACCTGCGTTCCGTACCTATCTGCCAACTGTGCGGTGCGGTGGTGCTGGTGTAGTGCAGCATTTTTGGATGGATAGGTACATTTCACGATTAGATAGCTGTTACGTTTCAGTGCAGGTGGCGTGACGAACAATGTGGTATCTGTTGGCCACTTCTGCGGCCGCTGCTATTTCCTACTCGAAGGCGGGCGCGCTGTTTGACTGGGCCGGCAGGATGTTCCCATTATGTGTCGAGGACAAAGCGAGTATATTCATGTTCTTTTAATGCACAGAGGTCTGTTGTGTATGTGCCTGAAGTTTTATTTTAAGTTGACGATTGCGTAGGGCAGATTCATCTTCTCTCTTTCATTTTTGTTGCCACTTTAGCGTTCATGTTTGTTATGTGTCCTGGTCCTGCTTGGTTGTCATCTTTATTCGTGATGTATTTTATTTTACGAACATGCTGGTGATCAATGCAATACACTTTTGGTTAATAATGCTGCTTTAGCTCTGATCCTTTGTGGTATGTCTTGATTGTACGACTGCGATAGTGATTTTTCCTCACCAAAATATGCAGGTATGAGGTAACCAATGTAAATGCTGCCAAAAGTTTGTCATTACGTGATATATCTAAAAGACATCAAGTTCCTGAACGTGGTCATGTACTACGTAACCGGAAACTCAATAGGACGTGGAATTATGTGAAGCAAAACTACAGAAGTGAGGCTGGCCACGCCAAAATCAAGTGAGATATGTCTAGCCTTTCTTCAGCCGCCAAGGCTTCGACAGACTATCCGCGGGTTCGGTGTCTCTCGAACTACGAAGATTCAACGTCGTCCGGCCAATCCTGGGTAAGGTCAGTGGGGGCTTAGCTGTGGTTATGGAACAGGATTGGCCGTCCGAGATTGTTTGTTTGTTTTGTTGGGTTAGGCCCGTTCGGTCGGACAAGACCATTTCAGAGCCGGAAGGATGATAGGAATTAGGGGGAGACATTGGTCTGGGCAGGCACCCTAGAGAGTCGCTGGGGCTGAGCCCGTCCAAATGGACAGGCCGACCAGTCCCCCAAGCACTCTGCACCCGGCTACGGGATGCGCTCCCTCGGGAGCAACGGTGCCGCTCCAAGGGAGCAGCCCGCATGAGATAAAGTTGCCTGTCCAGCCCGGAGGGGGTTGCGGCGTTGGGGAGAAGGATTTCAGTATCCTGAGGATAGAAGCACGGAACGGTGTGCCGTCCAAGAGACTCTGAACCTGGGTTATGTGGCAGCACATCTATGTCGACATAGTGTCGTCGCAAGCTGCCCCACTCGACGAGAAAAGGTAAAACCGTCCCGTCCTAGGCTGATAGGCTTAGCTAGGTGGCAGCACGGTCGCGCCGGCAGGGGGCAGTGCCACAACCAGCCGACTGATATTTTCGTGTGACGTCAGAACCGGTGCCTCCCTGCCTCCAATCACCATTCACGTCCACAGCGTTTGTCAGGAGTCTTGCGGCACAGTCTACGCACAGGCGCTCACTTCCAACCGACCAGGCTGACATCTAGCGACCAATCCTTGCACTCACACTTCTTGGTCTACCCTCTAGAGGCGCTGTCAACCAGCCTGTACTGAACAATCATACGGCAGCTGAACGACCACAGCCGAGTTCCAGCGACACCACTGAACAGTGAATACCATTCAAACTTCAAAGTCACAGCGGCTGACTTGTTGGCCATGGCGAGCACCATTTCTAGCTGCACTCTCGAACGCCTAAGGTCACCCAGCCTGTCCCAGCGCCCGCGGCCACAATTCACAAATATTGTATGGAATGTCTTTACGTCCAGATTTGGACCTCATGTGCCAATCGCTGGAAAGTTTTTTTCTGCAAATCCGCTGGTGTAGGCTAGCCATAAAAATTCAGATGCCTTCCCATGGAAAATGGAAACGTGCAAAACATCGAGTAACTCAAACTCATTAAAACAACGCGTAAGGTAAATAATATTTTTATTTCTGGTCACTGCCATTAAATATTACACATTCATTTCATACAAGTATCAAATAAAGCGTACCGGTAGTGACTCCTTAGCTTTATGCTGATAATTAAGCATGAGATTGAAAGCAATTCGTATACAAAAATATACATAACGCACCAGGGCTCTCCCATGCGGAGCGTCTAGTCTGCTTGGAAACCAAACACCGCAGCGCAGCGCTCCCCCAGCGGCGAGGGCTGACGACCGACGGGGGACGGAGCCAGGCAGCAGCTCGGAGCAGCCGGGCGGCCTCAGCCAGCCCGGCCGCCTGGAAAGGACGGATAGCGGAGCACACGACCGGCCCACCGCGCCCCCAACAGCCCAATCACGGAATGATCGCCGTCACACAAGCTCAGAAAACGCACATAGAAAAACTAATCGACCGACAGTGCCGACAGAAAGACGAAGACAAAACCAAGCTGGGTAACTTAGTCTGCATAATTAATTAGGACCCCTTCACGCCGACGCATACATCGACAGTCAAACTACAAAACAGTTACCATGGCAACTTCTGCCACACAGGACGCGAGCAGCGCCCGCTCCCATCCCGTTTTGGCAGCACAGATAAAATTTGAATGCCTCGCAGCGGGACACTGGCGCAGGCCGGGGGGCGGAACGGTTAGTCACATGCGTCCAACGTTCCAAATAGTCGGCGAACGCTAGAAATAAACTCGAACTCTTCGATACATAATTCCACAACCACTATGTACAAACACCGGCGTCCATCACAGTTCTGCGCCGGCGGTCGGCCGCCCGCACAGACATCCGCCTTGAGCCCCACCAACAGCACAGCACCGTCCACCGCTTCCTCCAGCGTGAGGACACACGCAGCATAACACACAGTCCTGTTAGTAGCACCACTCCGCCAGTCCAGCCGGGTAGCGGCCCAACGATCTCCACAACCAGCACCATACGACCTACAGCCGAGCTTCCGAGACCCAGCTCTCACCCACTAATGCAGCGTCCTCGGCACAACTCTGAGCAGCTCAGGATTCACTGTACCGCCGCGTGACGTCACCATGGCTCCCGTGACGTCACAGAGGCAGTCGGCCTTACAGTTCGTCGTCGCCAATCTCGTCGAAGGCGTTGTTTTCGACGGTGCGGTTCGACGCCAGGCTGATGCGGCCCACTAGGTTTAGCTGCGAGAGCTTGTTGGACAGCTTCCGGAACGAGATGCCCGAGTCGCAGTCCTGAAAGAAAAACAATGAAATGAAAAACACGTCATGGTAAACAGTATCCACGCACCACACAGCTAAAGTACGCAGTACGCATACATTGTTGTGAATTTGCTGCCTGACAAAGGCTTTTTGAGCAGACAGATACAATAGCATAAAATTAGTTTCGAGAACATCGTACTGCTAAAAAATCTACTTTGGACATTCGCACAAGTAACAGAGTCATGATTACGCAAGTCCCTGCATTATTACCCCTGAGTATCAATTACATTAACAGCTCACACGGGTCAGTTCCAAGAAAGATTCAATCACCGGTTCGCCAGCTCCCGCTCGCCAACGTATCAAATGACCCACGCCGTCACCATCTGACTCACAGAGCCACCCTGCCGGCGCCGCCGCGACTCACCACATGTTCGGAGTCCCCAGCGCCGGACCGGGCGTTCACGTGCTGCAGGCTACCGTCCCGTGTCAGGTAGTTAAAGTTCACATTGTGAACCTTCTCTCCCGGCTGGAACAGACAAGGTTTAGTGTTACGAACCGCTATTCGTGTTGCTTATCATCAATGCGGTTTTTCATGAAGCCGGTCACGAAATTCACAGGCCAACATAAGCGATACATGGGCCGGATTTCCGTCAGGCACTACAAAGACGGAAAATAAGCGAAGTGCTTCGCTTAACTGCCCAGTGCCCACTGCTATTCCCTGTCATTCCCCACTTCACCGGTTCCAACTACCACTCTTACATCTGAGCGCCCCGTCCGTTCGTCAACCAGTCGAGATCAATCCTGACACCCATGCTATGCACTAACCCTGGGGATGCCGAGTCCCTTTCGGCGTCGGAGCAGCTCCTCGACCAGCGCCTGCAGACAGACGGACATGAGCACAGCCTGCGGCGAGGCCAGCCGCACCCACTGCAGCTGATCGCGCGACATCAGGTACTCGAAGCTGAGCTCCAGCTGCGGCCCGGTCGGCCCGGCGGCGGCCGACGACGGGCCGGCGCCGCCCGCCTCGGCCGGCACCGGCTCCACACTGGAGATCCGCCAGCAGCGCATCCGGGTCACCTTGAAGCTGCCCTCGCGAACCGTGTTCCGGGCGCCGCCCTCACCGGGAGGAATCCTGTGGGGACATAGGGCAGCGGGTTAGTGTCGGTAAACGGACTGCACCAGGACCATGCAGTCATCGACCGAGGAGAGCGATTTTTTTTGACAAAGCGGCATCCTTCCGCCGAATTCATCGATTGACACTCGAGCACTTTGGTCTCATAGCCCAGCAATGCACAATTATTTCAACACAAATTGCCATACGACGATTCCGAATGTGCACAAAACTCACTCACCCATCCTGCCATCCCATCATCCCCGAGGTCCGCTCCCTTCTCACCGAATGTTGAGCTCCTTGTTTCCGATGCTGACCCTGGCTCGTGTGCCCGCCACGGGAAAGTCGCACGTGCACGGCTCGAACTGCATGTAGCCGTAGAACGGCAGCTGCTGCGCCAGAGCCACGTACTCGCGCTTGTTGCCCTTGGCCTGAGGAAGGGAGAAAAGACACGTTTTTAATCGTAACATTGATTGTACGTTTTATTAGTAAACTGTCGTTGCTTTTCATCAGTACTGAACTGTTCAGAAAAGTATATCATGATTAAAAGAGAAACACGCCTAATCAGAAAACAACAGGATGTAAAACGTTGCTTCAAATTGTATTAAGAAATTCACCCTGCGTAGCAATCCCAATAACCAACCAACGCCGTCCGTCCGCATCCCTATTCTCCTCTTCTCATCTGCCTTACATGCATCTCCGCCCTCCCCTTCCATTGCCGTCCGTACCTGCAGCATGGTGAGCCGTGCGCGCGTGTCCGTGTCGGCAGACATCCATCCCCACTCCACCTCACTGACGGTCTGCACGTACAGCAGGTTACGGCCCACCGTGTCCTCCAGAAGGTCGGCGTCGTAAGACGTGTCCCAGTAGCTGGCGAACAGAGAGGGAGGAAAGTTAGCAACAGAAGACGTGACCCAGCAACTGACGAACAGTGAGGAGATAGGTAAAGTTAGAAGGAGACGTACTCTGGCATACAAGTATACAGTACTACAGTAGTCCGGAATACACAGCTTCCACACGAGGGATGGGAGGGATGTTGTAAGCACGAAGCAAGCAGCGTTTGCCGGGAAGAGTGGGATTCACTGAATATGTGGCATATTTGTGAGATACGTAAGGGTATGCCAATATGACGGCGTCGTTCGATAGCCGTCAACCAGGGGATGTGTGCGAAGGTATATCTTTTCCACGCTGCTGATGCAAGCTCCAATCCAATTATGACTTCTACCCCCAGGCCAAAATGTCAGTGCAGTTGACAGACAACATGGGCAAGTAATCAACCGCGACATTTCGTCCACGTAACAAACAGGGGAGGGGAGGAGAGGCTGTTCCGTGTCACCTCACGGTAACAACATATGATAATTAATAGCTCAACACCAAGCGCTACATGAAGAAACTGCGCAGTGCTCAGAACCTAAAACTGGTTCAAAACGAACATAGCGACACCAAAACTAGTCAGATGACAGTGATAGCAATGGCAAAGGTCGCAGCGGCACAAAACAAGGTCGCGTTTTGCATTCCAGCATTTCAGCACGTGTGTGAATGTAACATTAGCAATGCACGCAGCGATGATAAAGAGCGTGACCATGTTGCTAACATGTCACCCATTATTTGCCATCAAAATTTCAGATTGACCTACGGACCAACACTCAGCCGTGTGTGCCGGCGCCTGGTACGAATGCTTTGATTCAAGCACCGAGACGACGCTACTGACTTTTTCCGGAGCACAATCCTGTGTTCGGGTGTGTGTCCTGCCGTGCGCAGAGAGATGAACGGTGCCTCGAAGTCATGCAGCTTCCGAACGACTGTGAACAGACAGATGGGAGGTCGTTGGTCGCGTGGAAATTAACGCAAATAGCGTGTCACAGTTCTAATTACACAAAGGGTTAATTTCAATGTTGCTCCATGTTTGTCACAATACCAGGTCCACATTAGCGAAACTGTAGTGCGCTGCAGAAATGTCACACAGTGTAATCAGCATCACTTAGCACAGGTGTTCACGATGACTTACTTGTATAGCTTTCCTCGGTCTTCTTCATCATAAACAAACCAAAGTAGTATGTGAGACGAGGAGGAAGATTAATCTGCTGACATGCTTTCTGCAAAAGAGCAATGTTGCGCGTTAGCTGAAATAGCATGGAAGAGTTTTACAACACTGGAGAATCAAGCAAAAACTAAAACAAAACAGCACAAAACGTAGAAAGTGGCTGATGTTATGAAGAGCAGAGGCCTCTTGCACCAATGCTCGGATTATTTTGCATCGTATGCCCAGTCCGAGTCTCAAATGTAACAATTAATGTGCAAAATTTAGCAAGCACATATAGGATTATGTATTGGGCTATTGCAAACAAATTTACCACCGTTAGATTAGCTTATTCTGAAACCGGTTTTTCGATTTTACCTAGCTAGGTAGTTTGGTGCAAGAGGCCTCAGCTGGAGTCAAATAAAGATAATAATTGGTAGATTAACTATTTGGCTAAATTTGGCTTAACCCCCGCCCCGCTATGTCGGGGACATATGAAAACCGACAGCTAGGTAGGTCTGGCGAGGGTTAATAAGCAAACGAAAGCCTGAAATCAAAGGGTTATACCTTATAAGAAGAGCATAGCAGAACACCCAACAGCGTTGAAGCATAACGCAAAATATTCTCACAGCACTTAGCGAATATTGTTAGTTTAAGTCAAAGTAAAATTTCCCTTTTAGCACTAATGTCGCCGGGGCACAGCGACTTGACCTTATTCATAAAAAAACATGCATCCTATTTCGAGCAACCTTACAGTGTTTCTTATATATGACATCCTCGATTGCCATAATTGAGTCACGAGAGGTCTACCTGACGATTACTCGCATATTTGCTGAACATTATCAAGTGAAACTTACCTCCAAGGGGACGTCACGTGACTGCACAGTCCACACTCCACAAGATGCACCACCCACCAGCCTTCAGGACACAAGCCGAGACAAACACTCACCTCGAGGACATCATCTGTCTGCAGTGTAGAGCTGGCCGTCACAGAGATCCGGTAGTTGTTGAGCAGGTAGACGTCCAGGGTGACCTGCTCCGGGGCAGCGCTCTGCGTCTCCAGCTGTGCCGACACCAAGAAGCCGTTGAACACCTCGCTGCTGAACACCTTGCTGTCCTGCGACACTGCGAGAAAGACGGTGGACACGCTGACGCGTTGCTGCATTGATACGCTGCAGATCGGCACCACTCAAACAGACAGCTGAAGCTGGTGGGACGTGGAAGGCAATATCTAGTGATGTGACTGGCCTGGTCTTCAGTTACACGTAGATACACTACCGAGTACCGATACATCGACATTCCTACGACTATATTCATAAAACTGCAAATTTGGGATACAAATTTCACAATTGTTGCGCTCGACATTCAATTTTCCGCTGCAAAATGCATTGATGACTAATAAGCATGAACGACTCTCAAAGACACGACAGCTGTACCCGCAATGCCAGCACCTCTTCCAAATACCAAGACACTCAACAGCCACCACCTACACATATGGCCCACCCGATTCGCTCGTCATACTTCCCGCTGTTTACCGAGCTGAAGGTAGCGCTCCAGCAGCATCCGCCGCTCCTCGACCTCCTCAGAGTTGAGGTGCAGCAGCTTCTTTGGCGGGAAGGTGGGCAGCGCGCGCGCGCCAAACACCCGCTTCAGCTGATCGTGCAGACAGCTCAGCTGACGGTAGCGCACCACGCAGTGCAGCTTGCCGTCCGCGTGGATAGTGTACCCCTGTCCGGATCAGACGGCAGCTTGACAGAAACGGAACTGAACGGACGAAGGCATCGCGAAATACACTTGAAATCGGAGACCAAATGATTCAGAAATGTTTTGATATAAAGGCAAATGGCAAAATAGACCAAGAGTCCAAGCTCACCAGCAAATAAAAACTATACTAGTGACTAGTGTACCACTTCTTGTTTCATTAATATGTAAAAAGCACACATGGTGTGCTGAATATATAGCTGATGGGTTGAATGTTCTGAAAGTCAAGTTTTCAAGTAAGTCAAGTAAAGTAAGTCAATGTTTTGTAAGTAAATGCTATCATAACAAATCATATAACAGCTAGCAAAACATTTATAAATTTAGCTTGACTATGAGCCAGTGAAACTAATTTAAAAACACAACCTAAACATTATCTGATAGGCACGACACTGATTTTTGTAATGCTACCATCCATGATCAGATGTCAAGGTATGCTCTCACTACATAGCAGGGTACAAAATATCTTATTATTCTTAAGTTGTCACCAGAAGAATAAAATTTACCACAGCTGTCAACTACAGCACACACCCAAAAGGCTTCCTTCATTTCAACCACACAAAGTTAGTTGGGTTTTCACTATCCAAGCAACCCTTTCAAAAATTGGGAGAACTGATCATTGATCAATGCCATGCAAAATCATGATTTGAACACAGCGGTGTTAGGTGTGGTCCCTAGTGGGGAAAATGTCTAAGCTTATAACTTATAAGAACTGCAAGAAAGCAAATGACTCCATTATGGGCCTATAGCATATCAAATTGGTACAAAGTGCATGCTGATTCATTCTGTGGATCAGCTATGGGGTAGGCATAGCTTTGGTATTCAATAATTTAATGTATTGAAATGACTCCATTATGGGCCTATAGCATATCAAATTGGTACAAAGTGCATGCTGATTCATTCTGTGGATCAGCTATGGGGTAGGCATAGCTTTGGTATTCAATACATTTAATACATTGTGAATTTCATGAGATATTGTGGCATATATGCTGTCAGAGACAGCTATCATTAGTAACTAGAAAATGCTCACCAGAACAATTCAGGATAAGATCACAAGCAACATGCTCCTCATATCGGCCATTAAGCTGATCAGCTTTGGGGCTTGGGGTTTGGGACTTGGGAGTTCACATTCTGGTAAGTGGTAGCAAAGTGGTAGGCCAATGCCCAAGACCATGACACATATTAGCTAGGTACAGCCTCTTTAACATATCAATAAGGTGAGCAGATTGTTTTGTGTGTATCAGCTATCAGCTCCATTTTCTAGAGCCTCCTACTTGGTGAACTAGATTTATAAGTGTGAATATTCTGTTACCTGGCACTAAATATTATCAAATCTCTCTTTCTCCATCAGTCAACTGCAGAAACTGGGCACCTTCTGAGTTCTGTGACTCTGTCTATGCAATCACACACATTTATGCTAAGTGGAAGTAGGAGTGGACTAGAGGAGACTATTCGTTAGGGGTCCTCATCCTGTTTGGCAAAATGGATTTATACAGAGAATCCCTTGAGTTGAGGCCCAGATATTGTCAGGTATGAACAAGTTTGAAGCTGTTGGTCGATAGCGTTCACAAAAAAAAATTTCAGGAAATATGTTCCTTGTTAAAAAAACATTCTCTAAGGGCACAAATTACAGGCAAGAACTGAGCATAAGTTAACTTTCGACAGCACATGTATGATGTATTTTCTCTACCTTACAATAAAAAACTCCCTTCAAATGAATAAAAAATTAGAGAACATTTGTAAATGAATAACCATACTTACTACCTAGTCTGTTATTCGCATGTAAGTTGCACAAACATTCCATCGGGCAGCGCATGCATACTGCATTATACAAGGTGTAGGCATCTTGGTAAATATTTACTTTAGGTCCGCAATATTATTTTAACAAGAAAAAATGCACATTCTTACACTATTTGATGTCCTGAATTCAGATATGATGCTTAAATGCATCAAAAATGTAAAATAAGATACTAAAACACCAGCACATTACACCGCACTGCTGCACAATACCTACACACTGAAGAAAGCACGCTTCCGCGACCGCGACAAAAACGAAACATACAACGCTGCCCTATGAAATAAAAAAATGATGCGGATATTCATTAGTTTTCGACGTTATGAAAATGACGTCATAATATCAAAGCACAAGAAAAACGGTGAATAAAAAAGAGAAAATATTTAGCAAAGGTAATAAAGCATGAGAAAATGATCAGAACATAACCAAACCTTACCTAACCTGACCTACTGATGTTTGCCTACTGGGGGAAAAGGAAAAAGTGACTTGCATGAATAGATTGCAAGCCATAGGCGTAGGAACAGGGGGGGCCGGGGGGGCCATGGCCCCCCCACTTTCGGAGGTGGGGGGGCCAGCAATGTTAACTGGCCCCCCCCACTTTTTGCTGACTTAAGTGTCTATCTGTACCTACCACCCGGTACCCTAAACACCAGAACTTGACAACTATTCAGCTTGCCCTTTAGTGAAGATTCCCTTTTGTTTCTACAGCGTTATTGACCGCAATTTCCTTCACTCAATGAAGAAAACCATATCAGAGACAAGACTGAGTCCTGGTGCCACAGCATTTTGTTGATTACGATGCACGGGACAGCGAGCACTGAAAAGAGGTATAGGTAAGACAATACTAGCACGGTGCAGGGGAATGCGTTTACAAACGACCAACGCTTGACCAGATCTGCTTCCTGGGGTCGGCATAGTTCGTCAAAGGCGTACTAGCTGGGGGGCCAGGGTGACCGTGCCCCCGCCTCGGTTAAAACAGGCTGGGAGCTAGCAATGTCTGTATCTGCCCCTCCATTTGCCCCCCCCCCCCCCAAACAAACAATGGGCCCCCATGAACGTATGGGGCTCTGGCACTTATTCGATTGTCACGAGGCTCAAGAATCCCACGCCAGCTATTAACAGCTTCCAAACCAGTCTTTGAGGGTCATACACTGATCTCGGAGGGCCCTTCAAGGGCGGTCAAGCGCCCACATTGACCACTGAGAACCCACATTGACCTCTGAGGGTCCTCCACTGGCATTTGAGGGCCCCTAAACCGGCCTCAAGGGCCCAGCCGACGTCTGAGGGCCTCACACCGGCCTCTGGTGGCCTCATTTCTGTCTCTGGGGCCTTTAGGTGCCTCTGAGGGCCCCGCACTGAATTCTGGAGACCCGAAGCCGGCCTCTAAGGGTCTGCATCGGCCTTAGAGGGTCCATCTTGGCCTTAGGGGTCCAACGCCGGCCCATGCCGGTCTGTTACGGTCCCACACTGACCTCTAAGGGCCCATGCTGGCCTGTAAGGACCCACATTAGCCTCTGAGGGCCTTGCACTGGATTCTGAAGACCGATGCTGGCCTCAGAGGCCCATCTTGGTTTTTAAGGGCCTTCTGCTGGCCTCTGGGGTCCAACGCCGGCCCATGCCGGCATTTTAGGGTCCCACACTGACCTCTGAGGGCCCATGCTGGCCTGTAAGGACCCACATTAGCCTCTGATGGCCCAAGTCGGCATCTTAAGGTCTCAAACTGCTCTTTGCAGGCCCTGTACTGGTCTCTGAGGGCCTTCGCCCTCGCCGGCCGAGGGGGGGGGGGTGCCGCCCCTCCATATAGTTTTTTCGCGATAGCTCCGAACACGCCGGCGATAGAGAGCTGAAGCTTGGCATACCTGACCTTTGAATCAAGCCGGATCTTTTGACACCAACCGCATTTTCGGGTCAGATCAGGTCACTGACCTATGAGGTCATAAGTGAACCTCTGCACGGTCTTGAGATGTCGCAACTTCGCAACGCCCTCACTGCCAGAGGAGATTTCACAGGGAAATGAACCTTGCAGGACCTAGTATCCATTAGGAGTCTCACAACTTGTACATCTCGGATTTTCGTAAGGTCATATGAGGTCAGGTCATTTTCGTGACCTCACCATTAGGTATAAGTCAATGGGGATAAACTGAAAACTTTTTTTCTGGCGCCGGGAACGATCTCAAACTATCTCAAGCACACCGAATCGTGATTTCATGCACTCCTTGCAAGGTTCGATGCGTCACTTTTGCAATGTTGACCTTGCGCGACGTCATTTATGACGTTATAACGGTCATATTAGTTTTTCGTCAATAACTACCGATCAAATTGAGCTAGCGAGTCGGGAAAGCCACCAATGGACTCAGGAAGACCTTCCGAATCGAAGGATATGAGACATAACCTCATTTGACCAATTTCGTGACCTAGGGGCGCTGACCTGACCGTGACCCGAGGTCAACACTCTAAGTTTACCTCACCCAAACAAAAAGTATATCATTCGACGCGCCTGAGAGAGGCTAACACGATATTGGCAAAATCGCGGCTCTGTGGCCGTTTTTTTTTTGCGAAGTTATTCACCAAAAATGGAACTGTGCCTTGGGGCACTTGACTTGACCTCAGGTCAACGGTTGACGTATAGGACCTTAAAATCGGGTATCGATCTCTGCGTCTCGTAACGGCGCACACGCTCGTTTTTTCCGCGACGCGCTAGCTCCACCTGGGGCGAAACGGCGAGGGGGGTCGTACCTGCTCCCCGCCCCCTCGGTCGGCGCGTTTATGTAGAAAACTTATAGGTCCGGGCCGGCGAGTGTTAAACGGCCTCTGAGGGCCCAGACCGGCCTCTAAAAGTCCCACACCGGCCTCTGACAGTCAATCAGCCCAGTTGCAGTGGTCGCTAATATAAAACCTCTTAAAAACGTTACAGGCCTGGCTGAGCCTAGCTGGGCCGTTCATGCTGATTTTTATAGGTATATTGAAAAGACTCGCTTTGCACATTTCACGCTTGCTCTTAATGAAAAAGCTGCCTGATGCCTCTGGAATTTGCATGGGTGCCAACGGCTGCGGAGGACAGGGGAACGCGTCAATCAGTTTGAGTATATGGAAAGGACTCTCCCTGAAATTTAACTACTTTTATTTTTGGTTTTGTCTCGATTTTTTTTACCTCTGAGCATGTTTGCGAAAACAAAGTGGCCGAAATCCGAGGAGAAATTGGATTTTGGGGGTAGGTTAGGTTTTAGACCTCTGGGAGCCTGGCCCCCCCACTTTCGAAAACGTTCCTACGCCTATGTTGCAAGCAATGGTAAGTCAAATATTTTTAGGTTAAGTGGTTATGCATCAGGCTTCAGGCCTTCGGCCTGAAGCCAGATACACAACCACTTAACCTAAAAATATTTGACTTACCATTGCCTGTAATCTCTCCTAAGGCATTGCCTTCGGCACTGCACCGCTCCGCCTCGATTATTTTGACGTCACTTTCCTTACAGTTTATTATCATCCGTAATTTCGCTCAACCTTGGTTGGACCATTTGTAGCGGGTGCGCCGCGCAGACACGTGCAGTTCCGGTCGGAGGTGGGGCCGTTGGTGGCGATACTGGTGATACTAGTGAACTGGTGCTTTTAAATTGGTTTCTAGAAGGAATAAGTATCAGAAATGAAATCGGGAGGTCTTAGAGTATCGTGTGAATGACTTTTATTTACCCCTCTGTTTTGCGGACCTAAAGTAAATAAATACCGGCATCTTATCATTCTACTTTGATGTAAAACTTTACCAATTATGTAAAAATAGCCATGCAAAATATGATACACATTATGAATCAATTAAAGACTTTCATATTACGTTTGGATTTTGGAAAATTGAGAAAAATAAAAAAGTTTAGCTACAGTATTACAGTCACCTCAATCTTCACTTTACTTACAGTAAAAGAGGCTCCATTCTTGTCCTTGAGCTCTTCAGCTTTTGGTATTGTGAAGTGCATTTTAATTTGTTGGAAAGAAAAGGTTTCTTCAGTCTGCTTCCTTCACAGTAATGAATAATAACATCGATTCGTAAACCTGCAAACCCTCTTTTGGGACACGCCTAAGAGCTGGACTTTTTGATGACGTCTTCGGGTGACGTCATGTCGTGTGTGACGTTTCGTGAGCAGGTAAGGAAAAGTCACCACCGCTGGCGAACATTGGTGCGGTAAATGGCAAACACAAATGCTGCGCAGAAAAGACAAATGTGTAACTTCAGACAACATTCGTTCGGACGACAATGTCAAGGCGAATCAAGAAGTTCTTCTCATGCGATTGTTAGTTATCTGTCGTGCTATTTTAGTATGATTGTTATTTGCAATTGATTTGTGAAATGTATTATCAAAATCAATGTTTATTGAACGCAGATTCAGTTTATTTTCAGATGTACCTAGGTACCCTTACACTTCACCCATCTTAAGCTGTTCAACGTTGAAACGTTGGGTATAATTTATACTGTGTTTTCTCTGCATTATTAACATATTCATCTTATATACAATATAAGGGCCACATGTTTTTTACAGGGAGACATGTCAGACAGCCCAGTAGGATGAGGCTTCGTCAAGCGTCATTTTTAGCAAAGCTTTTCTTGCTTAAAATCCAGTCTGCAAAACATGGCAGGGAGCTCGACAAGATTTTGGGGGCAGACAAAATCCTGCCCCGAATCTGAATGCTGAGTCCAGGGGCAGCCCAATTCCTGCCCCTAATGATGCAAATAATGTAACGATATAATGATGTAGGAAGCAGTGAGAAGCTGAGAAAATCACTTCTGTGTCAATTTTTTAACTTCTGCACCAGATTTTCCTGTTTCTGTCCCTTGCTTACACTTGCTTACACTTGACTCCCAGCTGTTGTGTCTTTGCTATGCGATGTTAAACATATAAAACATCTTACTATTCATGTATGCGCCATGACTCATGTAATCTTTTCACAGCCAAGACGCTCCTAAGGTGCTGGGAATGTGGGGAGTGCAGCAGCATCAGTGCAGCACCGATGGTCGGATGCGACGGCTGTGATAAATGGTACCACTTCCGTTGTGCGGGACTGACAAAGGAGCCAGGTAAGCGCAAATGTTTTCTGTCTCAGTATTTTTGTTGCAGCTATAGTGATCAATGAAATATTTTCCGCACTGTTCAGCCAAACATGTATTTCAAACAATCTGCTTCCCAACCAAGGGCGTCGCCACGGGGGAGAGGGGATCTCGTCCCCTCCACTTTTTAAAATTTTAACATTACGACTATGGCGTTGCATGGAAAGAATCGACTTGAAATGGTCCTCGTCACCTCGTCCCCTCCAAAATGGTTAATGTCCCCTCCTGTCGTCGCACCGTGGCGTCGCCCCTGTTCCCAACTACACAAATTTAGTCAAACAATGTGCCAATATGGAATTTTCAGGTTCAGTTGAATGAAATAGGAACAATGATAATTGTAGATTACGTATACCTGCAAGAGAGGAAAACAATACATTGTATTGCTTGTCCTTCACCGATACTGTTATTTTTCCATTTCTAGAAACACCGACATGGCGATGCAGGTGGTGCTGCCTGGTGAGGCCGCGGTCTCCGGAATCGCCTGCAGACGAAGTCACCTGGCGTCCATCTGCACATCACTTGCAGCAGTGAGGCCTGCTGACAGCGTCTGGCAGTGTCGGCAACGTGCCAGACAGCTATCTGGAGTCCTGCTCAGGTGCTCACCGCAGGTCGCCGACAGGAGGGGCGACGCATCGTCTCCGAGGTCGCCTCAGCAGCAGTGAGACCCCACTGGCCGTCTTCTTAGGCTTCAACTATATTGCGAACAACCTTTGCTGAGACAACGCCCATGTCGTGTGATCCGGTACCGCTACCGCACTGCGTGCCTGTGCCCGCCGTGAGCCGCTAGTGCTGAGTGCATGGGTTCGACCATGAGAATATGTGTTTATGTTGCTTTTTATACTATTGTTTATACGTTAAAGTGACGAATTGTTTATTTTTCGCAAGCCTCCGCTGTCCGGTTGCCTGCAGCTCCATGCAACGCCAGCTGTACTGTTGTTTTAATGTTGTCTCCGCTCAGCTGCACTGTTGCCTCTCCGCTCATAACAACCTATGCTGAGACAACGCCCATGACGTGTGATCCGGTACCGCTACCGCACTGCGTGCCTGTGCCCGCCGTGAGCCGCTAGTGCATGGGTTCGACCATGAGAATATGTGTTTATGTTGCTTTTACTATTGTTTATACGTTGAAGTGACGAATTGTTTATTTTTCGAAAGCCTCCGCTGTCCGGTTGCCTGCAGCTCCATGCAACGCCAGTTGTACTGTTGTTTTAATGTTGTCTCTCCGCTCAGCTGTACTGTTGCCTCTCCGCTCATATATGACACCCTCTATATGAATGGCACTACTGATTGTCACACCTACTGTCCGCATTGTCCGTAGTGGTGTCATGGATACAAATACTCATGGATACAAATACAAAATACAAATACGCCCATGTTCATACAGCGTGCAGAATCCAGATTCTATTGAGGAGAGTTGAGCCAAGTCACCATAGGCTCGGGAAGAGAGCAACGTGGAGGCCCACTGCCCCTTCCCCGGCCCCCACTGGGGGCGCCAGCCACTCCAACTTTTGACTGGATGTCAAGAGCGTCGCCACGAGGGGAACGAGTCGCCGGCCAGCCAAGGTAGCCAACGGCGTGTGAAGGTTGCCTGACCTCGAGGAAACTGAGATGGCACCAACAGAGGTTTTGTTAAGTAGGCGACCAAAATTCGAGCGGCAGCAACCTGGGCACCTTCACAGATAGCAGTGCCGCGTATCAGGACCGAGGATACACTCTGAGTCGGGTCGCAGGCGTCTCAGCTACGGTGCTGTCCAGCAGTACAACCAGCTGCCATTCGACACAAACACTCGCCACTTCAAATCAACCCTGAGACGCTACCTACTCAGAGAACTGTATGGCTGACCTGATCAAGTATCGCGGTGTATTGTATTGGCCTGAATGTATTTTACCTCGTATGTTTTCAACCTTTGACGTGTGACGATGAAAAACCATATTCGATGGATTCGTTATGAAATATATTCTGATTCTGATTCTGATTCAGGGCGCCTTCGACGTTGAGCTGGGCGCCGATCATCAGGACGCCGGGGGAATATGACCCAATATCCCCCGTAAATATGTGCCTCGGAAGGGAGACCCAACCATAAAACTGAAAGCTCGCCGTATTTTATCCACTATTTTTCGAGCAGGTCCATAGATTTCCGTCCTCAAAAGTGCGGGGATATTCCCCAGTGTTTGAGTTGGATGGGACTATAGTGGCGTTTACACCGACATGAGATTCCCATTGCCGGCTGTGGGAAACTACTGTCGGTGTAAACGCCATTCATATTTCCTGCGTCACCCCTGTGGAGACGCCCTTACTCCATGGTGCCGAGCTTATCAATTTGGATATCAATGGAATCAAAATCTCTTATCGATCGATGAAGAACTAAAGTACCCCGACCCGGAGAGCGTCTTTGGAATCAAAGCAGTAGCACATGACGCAAGACTTCAGGCAAATAAATCCTTCTTGTCTGAAATAAAACATTTGTGTATTGATAAGCACGTTTTATAAGCAATGGTAGCAAGATTCTCCATGTATTTGGTTTTAGTGATAATTTAGTAGCAGATACTTACCGTCGCATTTCGTTTTTTTTATTAATAATTTATATAGTCAGAACTAGCAACATGTCTCTTCACTCAACAATAATTACAAAAGTGAAAAAGAATTGGTAAATTGCTTATATTTTGGTGAAACTAAAAATTAATTCAGCACATATTTTTTTACAGCGTTGAAGTCCAGCTCCAAAGGACAGCTGACGATCGTAGCCGAGCAGGCTGTTTGGTACTTCTTCACTACTTCTTAGAAGTACCCGTTAGTACCGATCATGTCTCACATAATAAGCTATTGGAACAAAAATATGCATGTTTTTCTAATTATTCTCCTTTCACACTAGAAATAAATACTTTTCAAATGCATTTACTAATTAATTTCACAAAAACGGCTTGAAATTTTACAATGTCAAAATACTTATTCCAATTTCCACCATGAAACCACCACTATGCTACTTGCTTACAGAACCGTGCGCACAGTGCGCGCAGTTTTATCGTGACGTCAGAGGGTGCTTCCTCAGTGGCGCCCCCTGGCGGGGAACGCGTGCAAAAAGTCCAGCTCTTAGGCATGTCCCTCTTTTGTGCACTTTGCAATAAAATGAATTCAATTGCATTTGTGGCGCGGAGTGACAGTACTGGGGCACACTAAAACACTGCAATATCAAGTTAAAAAGATGCCAAAAGAGAAAAAAAATAACGAATGAGACACTTGCGGACTGTAAGAATCTTGCCTGCGGACAGGACACAGTCCAGGTCCAAGGATCAATGTCAGTGGTATTTGGAAGTACTTATACACATTGCACACAAACTTCTCCTCGAATAACAAACAGATACAGATAAAGGGACCCTCCCACCTTCAAAAAAGTTAATGAATTGGCATGAAAGTGATGTCGCTCGGTTCAGAAAGAGCAAAAACGAATATCTTCCAAATTTCATCGAAAAATATTCACCAGTTTTCAAGATATTAGACTTTTACTTTTGTCTACTTTTTGGGATCTCCGCTGTTCCTAGCGACTTTATTTGAAAGTGCGGCATTTGTTGCGCGCAAAGCAGCATATACCACCGCGTGCTACAAAACGTTTTAGTCAAACATTTAAAAATCGTTAGATATCTGCGAAGACGTCACACATTCAGAGGGGTATTCCTATGCATTAGCCCCTCTGAATCAAAATGCTGCAATTTTGAAATTCAATATTTCCGATTTAAGGCATTTCTCGATGTTGTGAGTGCCGAAACCGGTAATTGTGAGCCAGGGACCCCATTTTGGCTATCTCAACTCAAATCTAATGTTAAGGTGGGAGGGTCCCTTTAATAGCAAATCCAGATAAATCCATGGAACATGACTTTTCATTGCAATAGGTACGTCAAATATGTACAATAGCGGCGGAACACCTTCCGACTAGTGGTCTCGGGGCACTGCCGACTAGTGGTCCCATTCTTTCCATGCAACGTCCATAGGGCTAATGTTAAAATGCCAAAATCAAAGGGGGGCACGGTGTGCCCTCCCCGTTCCGCCGCCTATGAATACCTATGTAAATACACAAGATTCAAGACACAGTGCTCAATTGTAATGTAACTAACTGGACATCGCAGACTGCTCCATAAAAATGTGCGCTTTGAGCTGGTGTCGAAAGTTGCGAGCGAAACGTCATTTTCATCTGTGCTGTCCCGCCCCCTCCTTACCTTCGCAGAGCCTTTAGAATAAGATGGTCTCACTTTGGTCTCACTCAGCCGGCAGCCCCTTTCTTCAGTGCCCTACGTGGATGGCCTCGTGTGCAGAGCGCTGAACGCCCGGACGCAACTCGGTCGCAAATGAGCCTTCCGACCAGGGCATTGTCTCCCGACCTAGTCGCATGCGGATTCGGAGTGCCTACCTATTTTCTTGCTGTTCTGGGCTGGACAGTCACCAAAGCCTTCCTCCGATGCGGGCAGCTCCTAGCGAACTTGAGCCGCTTGTTCACGTGCGGTGGGGCGACCGAGTAGCGTGTCTCGGTGGCCTGTCCATCATATATGTAGGGCTTTGCGTCCATCAAGATGGGCTGAGCGGCGCACCAAGGTGGCTCATGGACCCTCGCTCGGTTCTGAAATGGTCATGCTAGACCACGAAAGGACATAACATAGCAAAACAGCTTTTCGCTCTGACACTCAAACGTTCACCCCAAAGAAAAGTAGGCACTGCAGAATGCAGGTGGAGTTGGGTGTCCTCACCGACTACCTGGTGGAGCTGATGACGAGGATGCGGATGGGTTAGTCCTGAGGAAAGCAAGGACGGCCAATACATTGATCAGTGATCATTATATAATAGATGTAACCAAACGTTATTTATTAAAATATATGATTAGGCCCAGACTTGTGACAGCTCAAGAAAAAAGTGAGCTCGCTCAGCTCAACTCCGTCTTATCCGCTCCCGCTCAGCTCCCGCTCAGTTTAACGCGGCTCAGCTCAGCTCACGTTCCGCTCAAACCGGCTGCGCTCCGCTCACGCTCAGCTCAGCTCAGCTCAGTTTCCGCTCAGCTCAGCTCAGCTCAGTTTCCGCTCAGCTCAGCTCAGCTCAGTTTCCGCTCAGCTCAGCTCAGCTCAGTTTCCGCTCAGCTCAGCTCAGCTCAGTTTCCGCTCAGCTCAGCTCAGTTTCCGCTCAGCTCAGTTTCCGCTCAGCTCAGTTTCCGCTCAGCTCAGCTCAGTTTCCGTTCAGCTCAGTTCAGCTCAGCTCAGTTTCCGCTCAGTTAAGTTCAATGCCACCCATTGCCGAATGCCGAATGCCACCCATATCTCCGTAACGTTTCGGGGTCCGGCCAATGACGTCACGGCAATGCGTGTGTTGATTGGTCATGGACATCGAATCATCGGGACACAGGTCGGGACATCACGCCGCAGTGGATAAGGATACCAACCGAACGGCTTACAACGGTGCGAACTGGGTGCAATAGAGGAATGTAGCGATTTCCCGACCAATCGCTTCAGTTTGCGAAGTCGAACTACATGGCCTTTCACCTAGTGACGTCTTTGGTTTGTATATAATATTCTTTCCAGTTTATCATGTTTCTAGTGTTTATAGTGTATCAATAGGTATTCAATGCACATTGCATTCGGTTTTATATTTTTATCCGTTCTCATCATCTTCCAGTGTACCTACTAGAACTGGATCAGCTCAGCTCAATCAGCTCAGCTCAGCTCAGCTCAATCAGCTCAGCTCAGCTCAATCAGCTCAGCTCAGCTCAATCAGCTCAGCTCAGCTCAGCTCAGCTCAATCAGCTCAGCTCAGCTCAGCTCAGCTCAGCTCAATCAGCTCAGCTCAGCTCAGCTCAGCTCAGCTCAGCTCAAGCTCATTCAGCTCAGCTCAGCTCAAGCTCATTCAGCTCAGCTCAGACAGAAGCTCAGCTCAATGCATTACTGAGCCGGCTCAGCTCACAGCTCAACAATTTGGCAAAATGTTGAGCCGGCTCATGAGCTGAGCTGATTTTTGAGCCGGCTCAACTGAGCTGATCACAAGTCTGATTAGGCCACACCACCATTGTACATATAGATTACCTAGACACAGAGGTAATGTAGATCGCAATTGGTCGAAAGAGATCATAAACACGAGCACACTGTAAGACAGACGCGGGACAAGCTTAAATCAATTTGCAGTTTCCAAAAAAAATAGATAATTGTGACATATGTTACCCATCACCAAGCAAGCAGTGTAATGACGCACAATAACACAAGCAACATCGAATAACACATTATCCATAACGATAAAATAAATCTATCACTAAAGCCGTATCACGAGCCAAGCCAAGCAGGTGCCGTCAATGCAGACACAGGATAATGAAATATCTTCATCGTATGGTTGCTGAAGATAAACAATTTACTGGTAAATTCTGAATGCATAGAAGAGGACACGAACCGCATCTCTTATAATTAATTGCAATAAAAGGGGAGCGGCTACACACACACACACACACACACTTCACACATCGTAACATAAGACAGAAAGTGCAGCGGCTAGTGCAACATCAACACCAGAAGGTACACCACAACACTCGAGTACATGAGGCCCATTGTCACGAAACACAGTAAGGTTGATGGGGACACGTCCGCTCTAAAGTTGTTATTTACATATGATGCCTGATCAGGCAACAACATTTGAGCCTGATTATGTTAACGACAATCACGTAATTAACACAACGATGCGTTGCTTAAATTATAGACAAATGATCTTCCTTCATATATTCGAGCACTCGTTAGTCCCTACCATAACCGAAAATAAGAACCCATCAATCAACAATAAATTCGACCCAATCAAACAATGGAATTTATATGCTGGAAAACATCTAATATGCTACATTTTATCAAGTTTCCAACAGCTATAATTATCAGTTTCATTCGCATCACAGTAAAGCTGATAACACCACAAAAAGCAGGGGACAATCAAGCTCTATGGTCTACTTTGCAGCCCATTTAGACATTGTCTCCCTGCGGTTCAGCTCTTGAGAACGATCGGTAAAATAATGATCAACATAAGAATCAAAATGACCGCTGCCAACGCGATCTTCATCTTCAGGTCGCGCAGATACATGCGGCGCTGAACCTGTCGGGAGCTGATGTAGAAATCATCTGATGTGGAGGCCAAGTGTTCCGACTGCTCCTCCAGCTGACTCAGGTTGGCGCCACGGTCCACGATTTTCTCCACGTTCTGACGCATAATGCCGGTCACTTCGGAGACCTGCTCCCGGACGGCGGCCACCGAGTCGCGCTGCCGACCGGGCTGCGGCCCGCGCAGGAAGAAGTCGTCACCGCGACTGCCGTCCTCGGCACCCAGCAGGCCAGCACGTTCTGAGTCATCTGCTGCTTCATAGTCATCCAGATCTACCTTACTGCCAAGCCGAGGTTGCATCGTGCGCGAAGATGGGCTGATTGCGGGAAGATGTCCTGCACATGAAACAAAAGATGACAAAGTTAGAGCAATCCATACCAATACCCCAATACCCATTACATAACTTCCAATGTTTGAAGAGAGTGGAGAGTCAAGAGTGGGGAGTGGGCTGTGGGGAACCCAGGGCCAGGCCTGGTGGAGTTGAATTTGGGACCAAACTTAGGTAAAATAACAGCTAAATTAATTCAGCCATGTGTGTTTTTTATTGGGTGAGCTTTAAAGACATCAAACAATTCACATACCCATCAAAACCAGAATCAGAATGCATTTAAAGCTCATCCAGACAATCACTGGTTTTTCATGTGCTCGCGTCAGCAATATGGGCAAAACACTTAACCGGTAAAAGACAAAATATGGGTAAAAGACACTTTAGAACATGTCAAACAAAAGTGGACGCGCTAAGATCACAATAAAAGCTCCTATGCGTACATATATGTGCGTTCACCACCGCACTGTGCCCGAGCTCAGGTATTTCTTGACGGTCCCTCTGAAGTCTGAACACCGACATGCGGGTCTCCCTAATGTCCATCCCATGGCCATTATCATAAAATGAAACCTGTGAGCTGTGACATCAGCAAAAACTTTACTTCTGGTTAGCAACTGATTGATCCAGCTTGCAGCTAAAAGGAAGCTGGATTGGAAGCTGGATTGCCATCATAATTATTAATTCATAAGCATGTATCTGGGTTTTATAATAGCGAAAAGCAATTATACCTGGCTCATCTTTCTTAAACCTATGGTTCATTTCATTTTAAAATAAAGGCCTCTGATCTTCTCTGTTTGATCTACATCAAAATCGATCTAAATTGAAATCGTTTCACATCAGCATCGACAGTACCTTGGGCTTGATCTTTATTGTGCCTTTATCTTGGCGAGACTTGTTGTCTATGCGTTAAAAGTCGGTCAAAGCATAGCTATAAGCTTATCAGCAAATCAATCTACAGCATTACCTTTACGAAATTTGTACGGAAACGCAGAGCACAACAGGTAGCATATGGGACATCACCGCACAACTCTTACGTTTTGTGCAATTTGTGAGCCATATTTTGTCTCAAAAAGAGCTTTGTGCGCTATGAATGAAGCGGTAACACATCGCTTTAGATAGCATTGATTATTTGTTTTAACAGTAATTTGATTGATAGGATTTTTTATTTAAAAATCAAAAATATTTTTAATGATTTTTTTTTAACTTTATAAGTACAATAAGAAGCAGAAATAATCATTTCAATTACAATTTTTTAAATGTTGCAGAAGAACATTTATGTTGCGCAGCTGCGACAGATATTGAGGTCTTTAGTGCAATAAGACTCATTTTATTGTATGATCGAACGTACCATCAACCTTATTATCACAAATTTCCGCTTGTGGGGCGGGGATCAAGCGCGGCGAAACGATAGTAATTACAATAATGCAATTGGTGATATTCGTGCCCTGCTACACTTGAATTTAAACTTCATACAAACATGTATTAGCGTGTGCATATTAACATTATTGCAGTGATTCATATAAATATTTTACTGGTTCTTGGCCTGACACCGTGGTCTGAACTGGGAAGCATTCTTGCCAACAACCATCCATCCAGCTCAAACTGCTTGGGATTCTTCAAGGCTTATATTCTGACAGGTCAGTCGATCACCATTGTTTTCACTTTGCAAAATCATGGTTGCAATACGCTTGGCTTTATGAACTTCAATTGACGGATATGTCTAATGTCACCATAGGCCAGACTGGAAAAACTATATGTTGTGCCTAATATGACTGGCAGGATTGCGCTGCTAATTTAAGTGCACGTCCGGCTTTGCATGCGCCAAATTCAGCGCATGGCGGGGGCTGAGTTTTCCGCCGCAGGGCGATCACAGAATTTCTTCGCAAAAGATTCTTCGCAATTTCTGCCCTCAAACGCCCGCTCGGCGCTCGCTGACCAGAGCAGTTCATTGCGCGGTCTCGCATCAATGGCGCGACAGCTGGTCCGAGTCACTATTCAAGCCACTCCTCCGCCGCTCCCTATCCCCGGAGAGCCGAGAGGACCGAGAGGACGCCGTTTCGGTGCACCAGATGAGGGCGGCGCCGTGTGCCGGGAAGAGGCTGATGTGCCGGAGCACGTGCTGCTCCACTGCCCGGCCCTCACTGGCTCCCGCCAGCCTCGAACACACCGCTCCGCCGATTTTTGTGGCCCCGGAACTTCCGGCTCCGGCCTTGTTTCACGGCACGACGCTACAGTGCGCTAGGCGTATTGAGGTATTGGGTTTCTGTTGAAATAAAAAACTGATACGGACGCTCAAACACGGGATAGCGTCCAAGTTCAGTTCAGTTCGGTTCAGTTCAGTTCGGTTCAGTTCAGTTCGGTTCAGTTCAGTTCATTTTATTTTATTTTATTGGTATTTGTGAGGTGCATGCACCGTAGAGAAAACGGCGTTGAAAGGACAGCGGGACTTTCAAAGGAAAGTTTCAAGTAAGCTTACATATTTTGTATGAGGTATGCTTTGACATATTTTTCAGCTGAGATTTAGATGTTTGATTGATGGCTGTTATAGAAAATTGGGGTGCCACTACATTGTTTCAGATACGCGGTCCTATCCATGATGACCTTCGAGTACGATAAAGTTTTGCCGAGAAGGGTTGGTGAAAATGTTGTCTACGTCACGTATTCCTTGTTCTTGCGTTGTCCTGAACGACTGAAGCAAACAAAAGGTCAAGTTGTGATGGTACCTAAGTGTGAAATGACTTTTCGATAGGTACATTAACAATTTTGAAATTTTCAGCAATAAAGATATCTATCAGATGCAGTTTGAGCTTAGGAACACGATGGTGATATTTATTTTGTTATACGATGTCAAAAACGCACTGGAAATGGATTTGAAAAAATCGATAATGGTGAAATTTTAACTAAAATGCGTACCTATAATACTTATACTTACTTATACTTATAAAGTTCGGAATTTTGAAAGGCCACTTGGCCTCAAGGATCCGGTCCTATCGAGCTCCTTACTGACTCAGTGTCCTGACTCAGTCGTTAAGGTGAGTTGTGTGTTTCAAATGTGCCCAGTGTTTGTCCAGTCTGGCTTTGAAGGCGTTTAGGCTGGGGGCATCGACAACTGATGGCGGGAGTCCGTTCCAATCGTTGATGACTCGGACGGAGAAGACATTTCGACGCACTCGGGATACGGCCCTCGGTTTCGACAGCTTCCATTGGTGTCCGCGGGTGTTGCCTGTCGCTGCCGCCGCAAAGAATCTCTCTGCCTCGAGGTCAATCCCCTGTCTGAGCACCTGGTAGACAGTTATCATGTCGCCCCGGCGTCGGCGATGGTATAGAGACGGCAGGTCGAGAATCCGGAGCCTCTCCTCGTATGGCTGATTTCGGATGGCGGCAACCAGCTTCGTAGCTCTCCTCTGGACCTTTTCAACGCGCCTCTGGTCCTCCCGATTGAAAGGTCCCCAGATGGAGTTCGCGTATTCCAGGTGAGGTCGCACCATCGTTCGGAACAGCAGAGGCAGAGTGTTCTCGTCTAGAAGGGCGAAGCTTCGCCGGATCACGGACAGGATGCGCGATGCTTTCGAAATCGCCGCGGCTGCCTGCTCACGGAACTTGAGTTGGTGGTCGACGTGGATTCCGAGGTCCTTCTCCACCGAGGTCTGGTCCAGCTGCGTGCCACCCATGTGGTAGACGTAGTTTCCATTGTGGGAGCCCAGATGCAGTGACTTGCACTTTGTTCGGTTGAAGGGCAGCTGCCAGCGTTCCGACCATTCAACGAGTGTATCTAGGTCAGCTTGGAGGGTGAGAACGTCTGATGCCCGGCTGACACTCCTGTAAATTTTCGTGTCGTCTGCGAACATCTTGATTGAGGACGCGACTTCACCGGGCAGATCGTTGACGTACACGACAAATAGCAGCGGCCCCAAGACAGTTCCCTGTGGCACCCCGCTGGTCACAGCGGCCCATTCCGACCTTGAGTTGTTCACCCGAACCCTCTGTTGCCTCCCCGTGAGGAACGCCTGCACCCAGTTCAGGAGCTTGCCATCAACGCCGCAGGCCCGCAGCTTCAGAAGCAGGCGCTGGTGTGGAACAGAGTTAAAGGCTTTGCTGAAGTCGAGGTAGATGGCATCGATTGCCTCACCTCTTTCTAGTCCACTGGTCCACTCCTCGAGAGTCTCAAGCAGTTGGGTACAGCAGGATCTCCTGGGTCTGAATCCGTGCTGCGCGCCACTCAACTGCCCCGTCCGGGTGAGATGCTCCATCAGCTGGTCGCGAATCAGTGATTCCAGCACTTTACAGGGGACTGATGTGAGGGTGACCGGTCTGTAGTTAAGGGGACACGTCCTGAGGCCCTTTTTGAAGATTGGGACGATCTCGTCCACGCGCCAGTCCCTTGGGAGGTGGCTCGAGTCCACGGAGGAACGAAACAACCGCGTCCATGTCTCCGCCATCGCTTCAGCGGTCTCTCGGAGAACCCTGGGGTGTAGTCCGTCTGGGCCCGGAGCACTGTCCACGTTGAGTTTGAGGAGCTTCCGCTTCACCGATGCAGAGCTGATGTCCACGTCTTCCAGACGGGGGCCCCCATAGGAGGCAGTCACCGTGGGCAAGACAGTTGACTCAGTGGTGAAAACACTCTGGAAACAATGGTTGAGCAGGTTCGCTTTCTCACTGTCTTTCCGTGCCATCGTCCCATCGTCGTTTTTGAGGTCTTCAACTCTTATTTTGGTGCGCAATCGTGAGCCAGTGTAACGCCAGAATCCCTTGGGGTTTTCTCGGATATCTAAGACAAGCCTCTTCTCAAAATCTGCTCTGAGGTTTCGGGTAAGGGTGCGGAGCTTATTCCGAGCGCGGGTGAAGCGTGCATAGTCCAGTGGGTCTCTTGTGCGCACATACTGGAACCACATAGCGCGCTTGTGTTTCTTGAGCCGCAGGGCCTCCTGGTTAACATACAGGCTCTTGTTCGTTGACCTTGGTTTGGCAAGGGGTATGCAATTGGATGCCAGAGACAGAAGCGTGTCTTTGATGACATTGTACAATACTTCGGTCTCGAGTTCTGTCGTGGGTGCCCAGTTAATTGAAGACAGTCGAGCATTCATGAGACGATAGTTCCCTTTGTTCAGGTTGTAACGAGGTTCAGCTGGTTCTACTACTTCCGAGTAGCAGTTCAGCTTGAATTTGAGGACAACATGGTCGCTTGATCCTAGTCCAGGGAGGGACTGTAGGCCTTGGATCATCCCCTCCTCATTTGACAGAACCAGGTCCAATGTGTGTGGTGTTTCACCCAGTCTAAACCTCGTTGGTTGAGTGACATGTTGGTGCAGGAAGCAGTCATTATAACTTATATATTTTTGAAGATATCGGGGTAAAACTTGCTAGACTGAATTATCGGCATGTGTTCTACTACATATCTTTCGTTTTTTTTCTCGAAAAGTCAAAAACTGATCTATGAAAAAATCAAAACTTGTTTGTGCAATTGTACCACCTATGTGTACATTTTTCGAAATTTCCAATATTTTGAAAATCCGAGATAGTAGTTTGATAGCCACTTGCAGTAATCGGATCTAGCTTAAAAAACTGAGCTCTTGAGAGCGATTGCAGTATTTCAATGTCTTGCATCAAAATCGGCCGACATGCCGTCTTTTTTACGTCATTTCTGGCCGACCTATTATGGTAGCTGCAAAATTGTAATTTTGACACAAGGTGTATAATTGATGCAGCGAAAGGTACTGGAAGTGTTGTGTTGTTAGTGTTACGTTCAGTGGTTTAGCAGTTATTGCCGAAAAACGAGAGAGGAGCTCTGTAGAGTCCCCCCCCCCCGCCAGTCATGCGCGGGTTAATGCATTAGTCCTATATGGGAACTTATGGAGAAATTCAGCAGCTGGCTGAATGACTATAAAGAAGAACGTGCAAGGTTGTTCTTGCACTGTGCCATTAGCTGCTTTACAATGACTCCAAAGTCGCAGCCCTGAATTTGCGTTGACCTCAAAGTGAATACCCTTCCCACAGCATGGATATGCATTTCAGCATTCCAGCTCCAGCAAGGACACAAGGCGAGGACCAGCATCCTCATCTTGTGAACTCACCTTGTGGGCTCCGTTCTTCTAGTTTCTAGCCCTACAGGCCTACACGACATGTTCCATATTGAATAGACCTCCCTGGGCTTCACAGACTGCTAAAGGAGCACCTGCATGCTCACCCAAATGCCCCAGGGAACCTTCTCGGAAGCTGATCAAGCTTCAAACAGTCTCCCTAGTCTGATAGAGCGTCTTTTCAGACAGAGTTGTGAATAACTACAATGCAACAGCTTGTCATCCATTGCGAATGTCAAGTTAGAGATGAATGATCATTTTGGCGCTTATTGGCGACACGTAACACACGCCATATGGCTGGTAAGAAAGGCTCGACTGAAATTGATCCCAGAGGCCATACGACTATCAAAATTATGTACACGCAATATCCGGTGCAATCAATCTGATACTGTTTATGGGAGTCCTTGATTCCTTGTCAGGTCCGACGTGACCCTCCCCATACCTATTCCTGGAACGGGGAGCTCCGCAACTGACTCAGTTTTGCTACTTCCATTATCACCCCCGGGTAATGGTCAGGGGTGAACACATTTTGTGAGCTCATCAAGGGTCGAATGCATTTG